TTCTCTCTCTCTCGTTCGTGGCTCTTGATTGTTCCTTGCCAGAAAAAATTTACGTTCGTCGCAAGATTACAAAACGAAATCAATCATACGAATTACGTTAAAAATTGTTCATATGTGTCCGATGTTACACGTCCTTTAGTTTCATTTAGTCATATTTATATCTACGCTTACGTCCTTCGGAATCCGTTAAAAAAATTCCGTGCGTTTACCCGTAATTTTTATAAAGGATAGAACGAAGGATCTTTTTACATATCTGATTGGTCATAATGAATGTTAAAAATTTACATAAAGACTTATAATGTCTGTTGTTCGAACTCCGTTGCAATCACGGAATACACTAATTGAAATATTTTTACGTAAGTATCACCGCTCGTGTTAAAAATGTACAAATTGGATGGTCGATGTTATTGGACGACTTTGGATTTGTTACTCATTAGGTTATTAAAACGGGACAGAATCAGGGCAACAAATGAAATGTTAATTAATACCACGGACGTAAAGAACGGTGTAGTATAATAATGTAAATCCGAAGCTTATAACATTTTGAACGTTATTATAGCCATGGACGTTGCGTGAACAGTGCGCCATTTTTTGACCATACAAAATGGCTAAAATTTTAGATACCCTTTCTAGTCACAAATTCCGGCAATAGTGTACCGTCCTTTAGGTCCATGATTAATTTTTCCTAGGATAGGCATGGCCAATTGTGCTGCGCACACGACACGGCCCTGAGTGAGTGCACAGGTGGGGATGGGTTAAGTAGTATGAGTGTATTATGATTTATGATCCGCTGAATTACTGCGATTACTGCACGAAGTGGGGATAGTTATTAGCAGTAACCCTCCAGGGACGCACTCAACACCTATATAAAAATGTGCCTAAACCAGAAGTTGCATTCTCAGAACGCGAAATGTTAAAATTAGTAGACGAATATGAACTACATTCATTGCCAATACGTTAGTGAAGTAAAAATTAACATTTCGAATGTTCTTTTAGGAATAAAATGTCGATAATAATAAAATAATGTTACATTATTTTTTATAAATATTTATTACACGAGTTTCATATAACGATCGAATCCTGATGTCAAATAGCGGTATATTTACACTTTCGCTTTGTCCCTATTTCTGATTTAGGCACATTTTTTCGCAGCTAATCAAAAATCATCACTGAGGTGTCCAATCACTCTCTGGAGGGGTCACCAGCTGTTAGAGTAGACAGAAATAAGCTTACCATGCCTGACCCAGGATATCAATTGACATGACATTTGTTTAAGTCCGAGTTAATTTGTATATCTATGCATAGGAAAGTACAATATATGGTTTATAGTAAGAGTTTGTAAAGCGTAAAATTGATTAGAATGATATGGTGTTCAAGACAATTTTATCAGTTTTTGGCCTATGGAATTGATATGTATCTCTGTAACGTACTTTATTTAAATCGTTGATAACAGTTTCTAAAGATGGGATATCAAAAAGCTGTAGACGCGGTTTAAAGGTGTTTCCAAAAGATGCAAATATGGGGAACACGTGTAGATATTATAATACGGAGTTTCGTTCGTTATTTAATTACGTATAAAATTACGTTTTACGTTTCTTTATTAATGGAGAGTGGAAGCCTCTAATTATTTACATTTATTTTTTAGTATATCATATTTTCGTTTTCATTTGCTGGTACGTAGTTGTTCGAAATGAGGAAACAATAGTAGAGAACGCAATTCCGTTCTAAATGGTTTGCAAGAAAATTAGGAAAGGAATGTCTCTGTTGATTACGTTGTTAGACGTAAATGGGTACCGTCCTATATTAGATACTGTAAAAAAAACGTTGGTCTCTCTCATCGTATGTGTAAGCACGGTTTCGCTGTCTTTTAACAGGGAAAAACCTTATCTATTTTAATTAATTTAAATTGAAGACTACGGCTTCGGCCAGCGCTGTGAAATATTTTCCCTCGACGATACGGCACGATCTACTGCGGATAAACCATTTGGCAATCCCACGCGACAGGTAATTGAAAAGAAGATGCGGTTATCTTTGGGCAACCGAAAAATCCGCCGGTTCCATGCACTTCATATTACCACCCGGTTTCGCGGTTTCATTAAGAAATTCACAAACGCGTGCTGACCAGCGCCGAGCTAAATATTTACATTCAGTCTTTCGCGCACACATCGCGTTACATACACGTAAACTCGACTCGTTAGACTGATGTTGGCTTGATAAAAGGTCTCGTTTTTCATAAAACAGAATTCGTAACACTGAGACTAAATGACATACTGAACGTTGGAATTGCACAAATTGCAAAATATTTAATATTCTCTATTTAATTTTCGCAGTGTTATGATCCTGATTTTATTACGCTGTGAATATTTTTATAGCAGAAAAAGTTAATCGGATTCTACTAAAAATTATGGATTTATCAGCACGTTCTCAATGTGGATATATAAATAGTAAATATCCCATATTTCTGTTCATATCGCAATTTCTACTAATTGGCTCTTCTTTCTATAATTTATAATCGTAAATCAATGAGTAGAAATTGTGACGCGAACAGAAATTAGACCATTTACACGTAAATGTTAGAAGTGTATTATTTAAATGCACACTGGGAATGTATTCGATGTTCAGAGGATTCAGCGACCTTGGACAGAAAGTTCAGTGAATCGGTCGAAGTTAACAGAGCAAAAAGGAAAATAACGAAACGGCAAAATGTAATTTAATTTTCTTTGACATCCTTCGTTCTATCGCGAAACGAATCGATAAAATGTGTTTGGCTAGCTTCGCATCTCGTTGGTATCAAAGAGAGTACGTCGCTACATATGTATTTGCACGGTACGTGGCGTTTTGCAGTCCAGCAGATCACTACTACTGCCTCTTTGTTCCTGCGCCGCAGACACGACGCATACACGGATGCACGCGTGCAACAAGCGAAGTGGTTTCGGTTACTCGCATCGAACACGGATCAAGAGATATGTACAACGAAATCGAAAGGCCGAGAGACTCGGCGGATCACTTCCAGCGTTCTAAAAGTATAGGTGCTGCTGATTGCGCTTCAGAAATTGTCGTTTATGTTGGTTTTTTTTTTTGTTCTTTTTTCTTTTCGTTATACTACGCTCTAACGGAACTCGGTCTAGTCGAGGTTTATCTCTCCCGTGTGGTAATTTATGCGTATGCGTGTACATTGCGTGGAAATGAGAGAAAGAGAAAAAAAAAGAAAGAGAGACGGTCACGTGTAGGTGTCAATTTATGAACTCGTTATACCGGCGTCTTTGGTAGTTTCCGGCGCGTCGGTGACGAGAGCGTTTTATCCGTTTCCCCTTCTGAAAAACATTTCACTTTCGTTGTAAGAACAGCAGGGAGACAACACATTGTGCAAAATGTTCCGTTCTAATTGTAAACTGTATATCGCATCGTCAAGTTTCTCAGTAATTCGTTTGTTAATTTTCACCTCGAAATAATCATTCTACAAGTTGAGATATTAGCATTAGTGATTGTAGAGTAATAAACAATTTCTATATTTTTTTAGATAAATTATATTCGCTTTATTTTGTCAAGAATAAATAAAAAAAATATCTGTATTTAGTTATCGAGTAATAGTTCGAACGAAACATGTTATAATGTTTGCAGTGAAGATTTCAGATATTGAAAGTGCAAGAAAGATTTGAACCCAAGGAACGAGATTCGATTCAATCTATATGAATATAGATTGCACATTTATTATTCCATCTCCATTAAACGAGGATGAAAATGACGATTTGAAAACGTATATACATATGTGTTTTGAACGACCATCAACAGACGAGTTTTTCCATGCACTTCATATTACCACCCGGTTTCGCGGTTTCATTAAGAAATTCACAAACGCGTGCTGACCAGCGCCGAGCTAAATATTTACATTCAGTCTTTCGCGCACACATCGCGTTACATACACGTAAACTCGACTCGTTAGACTGATGTTGGCTTGATAAAAGGTCTCGTTTTTCATAAAACAGAATTCGTAACACTGAGACTAAATGACATACTGAACGTTGGAATTGCACAAATTGCAAAATATTTAATATTCTCTATTTAATTTTCGCAGTGTTATGATCCTGATTTTATTACGCTGTGAATATTTTTATAGCAGAAAAAGTTAATCGGATTCTACTAAAAATTATGGATTTATCAGCACGTTCTCAATGTGGATATATAAATAGTAAATATCCCATATTTCTGTTCATATCGCAATTTCTACTAATTGGCTCTTCTTTCTATAATTTATAATCGTAAATCAATGAGTAGAAATTGTGACGCGAACAGAAATTAGACCATTTACACGTAAATGTTAGAAGTGTATTATTTAAATGCACACTGGGAATGTATTCGATGTTCAGAGGATTCAGCGACCTTGGACAGAAAGTTCAGTGAATCGGTCGAAGTTAACAGAGCAAAAAGGAAAATAACGAAACGGCAAAATGTAATTTAATTTTCTTTGACATCCTTCGTTCTATCGCGAAACGAATCGATAAAATGTGTTTGGCTAGCTTCGCATCTCGTTGGTATCAAAGAGAGTACGTCGCTACATATGTATTTGCACGGTACGTGGCGTTTTGCAGTCCAGCAGATCACTACTACTGCCTCTTTGTTCCTGCGCCGCAGACACGACGCATACACGGATGCACGCGTGCAACAAGCGAAGTGGTTTCGGTTACTCGCATCGAACACGGATCAAGAGATATGTACAACGAAATCGAAAGGCCGAGAGACTCGGCGGATCACTTCCAGCGTTCTAAAAGTATAGGTGCTGCTGATTGCGCTTCAGAAATTGTCGTTTATGTTGGTTTTTTTTTTTGTTCTTTTTTCTTTTCGTTATACTACGCTCTAACGGAACTCGGTCTAGTCGAGGTTTATCTCTCCCGTGTGGTAATTTATGCGTATGCGTGTACATTGCGTGGAAATGAGAGAAAGAGAAAAAAAAAGAAAGAGAGACGGTCACGTGTAGGTGTCAATTTATGAACTCGTTATACCGGCGTCTTTGGTAGTTTCCGGCGCGTCGGTGACGAGAGCGTTTTATCCGTTTCCCCTTCTGAAAAACATTTCACTTTCGTTGTAAGAACAGCAGGGAGACAACACATTGTGCAAAATGTTCCGTTCTAATTGTAAACTGTATATCGCATCGTCAAGTTTCTCAGTAATTCGTTTGTTAATTTTCACCTCGAAATAATCATTCTACAAGTTGAGATATTAGCATTAGTGATTGTAGAGTAATAAACAATTTCTATATTTTTTTAGATAAATTATATTCGCTTTATTTTGTCAAGAATAAATAAAAAAAATATCTGTATTTAGTTATCGAGTAATAGTTCGAACGAAACATGTTATAATGTTTGCAGTGAAGATTTCAGATATTGAAAGTGCAAGAAAGATTTGAACCCAAGGAACGAGATTCGATTCAATCTATATGAATATAGATTGCACATTTATTATTCCATCTCCATTAAACGAGGATGAAAATGACGATTTGAAAACGTATATACATATGTGTTTTGAACGACCATCAACAGACGAGTTTTCTCTGTCGTCCTATGCGAGTTATCGATTCTAAAATCGACTCTGTCGACACTCAACGATTGATCTCTTTCGCGCTCTGTCGAGTCGCACGCGATTTTCCTTTAGGTTTTTTACTTACCCATCAGCAGTCCCAGATTTCCAGGCCCTTTCCCAGACGACGAGACCGCAGCTAAATCCTCTGGCAAATCCCCGCTGCATTCACGTCACGTAAAATAAGAAATTCAACAACTGCAAGGATCTCGTAATCAGAAAGACTCTTGCCAATTTTTCATAAGTCGAAAGAAGAGAACAAATTGCAGAAATTAATGTTTCTGACATTTCCAGATTTTACTGGAATTGAGATGACATTTTCAGTTTTTAATCAATTTCAGTCTCTTATTAATAAATTAATTATCATCAGATGAATCAATAATCATTTTTAAGCAATCAATTAACTATTCTATTGAACGAAGAAATTTAATATAATTATGAATTTGACGAATTCTTTGATTTGACTATCTCTCAATTCAATCTACTATGTTTCTCGTTTTAAATCTCATTCAATTTTTGTTCATTTATTATACTTACGGATCCGTGTGCTCGATTACCAACTCGACAATATCGTCGCACCGTTCGGTTATTTGAGCGACTTCCTCGAAGCTCCGATCAATCAGAGACATCCCGCTCCATTCGAGTACCTGAAACCAAAGAAAATCGTTACTTATAAATTGCAACTTTTACACGTCTGTGCAAAATATAAGTACGAACAAAAAATACATACATATAATATACG